TAACCAGAATAATAAATAATTTGTAACCAGATTAATTGTAATCTAGCAAAAGATTGCTTGCAAAAGGAAAGGAGTAACATGAAAGACTAATGAAGAGATGATTAGGAGTTTTCAGGTATATTACATTTTATTAAGTCAAAGGAAGATAAATGGTGAGACTTCAGTAGAAAGAGATGATTCTGGAGAGGAGAGGGAGGGCTTTGACTTCTTAGCATGGGTGGTTGAGGAACTTTGTACCATCCAGAGACAAAATGAACAAAGGCAGCAGGGAAAGAAGGGTAGCAGTCCACAGGAATTTCCACCAAAACCTGGAGATGGGAAAGAGAACTATTCAACCAAGGACATGATGAAGGAGCAGTGCCCAAAGTCTGCAGAGATTTGGAATAAAGAGAAGTACAGAGGCAAAGAAAATGAAAATTTCAAAACTAAAAGACTGATTGTGGACACTGAAGGCAACTGGCAGGCCAAGGAGACTGAAGATGGTTAGCAATGGATAATTAGAAACCTTGCTGAGAGCAATTTCAGTGGTCAGCACCGAGACACCACAGCAGTGGGATGTGGTATAGAGGTGAAATAGAGGAAGCAGAACGTCTTGCAAATAACACATCTCATGAGAGTAAAAAGAGAAGGGAAAGGGATGTACATGGTAATAGCAATTTTTTTCCAATACAGGAGAAATTAAATTGCTTTTCTTTTGAGAGAAAGGATCTACAAGCAGAGAGTTACTGGGCTGCAAGCCTTGGGAGAATTAATTACAGAGATGAATGGAGAGTGAAAAGGGACACATGATGGTCATTAACAAGAAATTCAGCCGAGATTAACAAGAGGAGCAGAGCAATGCAGGGATAAATGCATCTATTTGCTGCCTGAGAGAAATGTGTAAACTCCACTTCTCAGTTAGAAGCAGGAAAATTGATTCCACCTCAGGGTACAGCCTTCATGTGGTTTACATCACAGGGTGAAACTTACCAGTGGGTTGAATCTCTTCCCAAACTGGGAGAACTCAGTAGGCTTTAATGCTGAGATGTGCTATTGAAGTGCTGCACTGGCACATAATTCTAGTGGGATTTCCTCACTAATTTCCTTAGCTGACAAAGCCAAAAAACCCCAAACAAACAACAAAACCCAGAAAGTATGGGATTATAGAATCATAGGATGACTTGGGTTGGAAGAGACTTTGAAGATTGTCTCATTCCAGCTCCCTGCTCTGGGCAGGGACACCTTCCACCAGGATGTGCCACTGCTTTCTGTAGTCCTCACAATGTTAAAGTGGCAAGTCAGAATTGCTTTGGGATAACTTGATTCCTCCTCCTGGAAATTTCTTTGCTTGACTGCAAACGTTTCTGAGTTTAAAACATACAAGTTTTCTAGGTCAACTTGTTGGGATTTTTTGCAAACAGCAAATTATTTCTTTCCTGGGGGCACTTCAATTGTAAATACAGCTTTCCTGTGAGACTGTGAGAAGTTGAGCATGGATTAAATCCTGGTAATTTTCTTGCTTGTCACTGTACAAGGTAGTCCACAAGCTTTCTGCATGTTAGGAAAAGGTGGAAAACAGCCACTCTGACAGGTTCAGCTGAGCTAGGCTGTTCTTGGAAAACAGATGCATGCCTGCTCTCAGGTGCCTGTAGGAAGGTGGTCTCTCTTGTACTGTCAAGAAAAAAGCTGTGAAATGCAGGGTCCCAGAGGGTGTCAGGGTGGTCAGCCCACCCCTGCATGTGAAAGACCCTGTACCAAGTGTGTAAGAAAAACATACAATCTTGTGATTACAGGTGATGCACTCACATAGACCAGAAATGGGCCTCAAAGCTGCTGAGACCTCCATCCACTAACATTTGAACACAAGTATTTAAAAATCAGCAAGCTTGCTATATATTGGAAAAAAGAGACGCTTCTATATAAAATATACCATCCGTCCTGTTTCACTTCTCTTGGCTAAGTTCTGTATTTTTTCTCTATTTTATGTACTTCCATGTAATCTAAGCCTCCTGTAAAGAGAATTGTTCTGTTCAGCAGCCTGAAGTAAATAAGAATTTTAATCCCCTGATAGTTTAAATTCATAACTAATCCAGTTATGATTCAGTAAATGTTTCATTTTACACTTAGCAGTGAATTTGTGAGGCAAATTTTTGTCACTGTCTGCTAGAGACTCCATTACACCCTCTGCATCTTCCTCATAAGCTCTCAGAAGTTCTGCCACATGCACGTCTGATTTGAGTCTGTGATAACAACAGCACTTTATAGCACTTCCACTGCTAAGAGCATGGCAAAAATGCAAATTAAATCCATCTTCTTCACTCAACTGCATAAAGGAAAGAAAAATTTAAATGATGGGTTTCTCAGTAGCCCCCAGCAAGTTTCCTTTGGATTTAACTGCCACTTAAGCATTGATGCACCTACTCACTGCTTGGTGCATTTCAATGTTTTATTTTATCCCGTGGTTCCACTTGCTGAATGTATTAAGATTTTGAAAAAATGTTATATCTCTCGTTCTTGGTGATCTCTGCGTCTCAGTATCAAGCCCAGATAACTTGGAAAACATCACAGCTTTAGTCGAGTGTGCCAGTGTGCACAAGGAGGAGGAGGGAAGGCGCACAGACCTTGATGAAACGACTGCTTATGCTTGCTGCTGACACACATCAATGCTCTCATCAATGATAAATCATTATATCAATAAAAACATCATTAAACTGCTGAGTCTGCTTTGCTCTGATTAAAACACGTCACACTTTATGTGCTGTCATCTCAGACACAGGGTTCACTTCCCCACAGAAGCAATGTGCTCACCCAAGTCCTGCTGTCTAAAGTGGATATTAAACCTGATGTGCTGCCTTCGTGCTGGAAAATGAAGATGGTGTTAGAACAACTATTTAGTTCTCAAGGACAGCAATTGTAATGATAGCTTCAAAAATAACACTGCAGTTCCATGGTGAATGGATTTCGAAAGCTATGCAGCAAAAGGGTAAGTTTGACTAAGTATTTGGTTGCAGTGAAACAAAATCTTCATTAATATCTAACTACTCAATATTACAGCTTTGTTCAGTGTTTGGAAAATATACCCAGAATTTACAGCCTGAGCTAGGAGCTTTGAGCACTGGCATTCCCACAAACTTTGCTTAAGGGAATGTCTGAGATAGTAAAATTATGGAGAGATTTAACTAAGGGTTATAACTTGCTAATGCTTTTCCAAAAAAAGAAAATGTATGTGCTGCTCTAGCAACACTTTAGAAAGCTACTCCTTTACAGGCAAAGGCTGAAATCCTCACCTCTGCTTTGACTTCTGTGCTTCAAGCAGAGGGCAGAGGAGCACAAACCTGCTCCACAAAGCCCAGTTACAGCAAGGACGGAACTTTGCTACCCACACTGGCATGTAAAATAGCCATCGGGTATTGTTTTCAGTTCCTGGTGGGATTGTGTGCACAAAATACCAAGGTGACAGGCAGAAAAGATAAAATTCAGATGGGGGAGCAGAGTCCTGAGTTTGAACAGCCACAGGAAACTACTTTAGATGGGAAGGATAGGGCAGGGAGAGGAGGCCTCTTTAAAGCCCCATTTACCCAATCTCCAGATAAATTGCTCTTGGCAGGAGATGGCAGAATCCCTTGCAATAACAAGAAAATATCTTGGCCCTGTCAGTGATTTTAACATGAAAGGCTCCTTTTCCTTGCTTTTAGAAACAAGATAATTAATAGTTTCCTAGAGCAGTGGCTTTGTGACCACAGAAATCTGCACCAGGCAGCGCCTCGTGGGGCTCTGGCAAAATGCACCAGCCCAGCTCAGTCCCACAGATGCCATCAGCCATGAAAACATCACAGCCTGGTTTGCAGCTGGAATGTGCAGGTCTGTGCTCACACAGGACTTCTGTTTTAAGAACACACAGAAGTTGGGGGTAAAGGTGCCATTTCAGAGATGACAACAAAGCCAGTCAAGGCTCAGCTTTGTGACCTGTGGCAAATGCTCAGAGATGCTGAGAGATTGTGTGACCTTAACTTGCTGAGTTCAGCTTGGTAGAAGCTTTTGATGAACTTTTTAGTAAAACAGAGAAATTACAATCGAATTTGAGTGTCTGTCAAATCTAGACTTGTTGCATCACACTAAGCTGAATATATTGCATCTGCATGGAAATCAAAGAAAGTTAGCTGAGTTTTGTAAGTAGTATGTATAAATATTTTAAATATTTGAATAGATGAATAAACACGAGGAATAATCTTTATTGGGGTGGTGGGAATGACACAAATTCAACATAGTTACACTACAGTTTATAAGGTTGACCTACAGTAGACATTCCAGAATTTTTGTCACACAATGCTTTCATTAATGAGAAATCACTGTATCAATAAAAACACGATGAGCAGCACAAATAATAGAGCATCTCTGTAGGCATGCTGGTGTCCATCTCCAGTTCTACGGGAGCCCATGAGAACCTGCAATATTGCCCTGTACTCACAGGTTTTGGGTTAAAGCTGCAAAACTTTATCAGAGTAAAACAATTATGCTTTTTAGACACTGCTGCTAAAATACAGTTCAGCCATAATTATAATTAAACAGGGACTCACATGCTGCAAAGTGTGGCACAGTCTAACCACAGCAACAAACACTGAGTCAAGTGGAGCTCCATGCAGAGGGATCTCATCCCACAGCTAAATTTGCTCTGGGATCTCTGCAATAAACTGAAGGACACAATCAGGCAGCCTGTGACTCACGCAGTGCGCCATTTCTAATGTGCAGAAATGAAAATAAAAGCAGATCTCTTGTTCCCAGAGCCCTGGAGGGGGGAGTCCTCACGACTCACGCTGTTTTACAGACCCTTGGTCACCGAAGGGCCGACTGACACCCACGGCTGCAGAGCCTGTGGCAAAGGGAGTGGGAAACAAACAGTACTTCTTAATTAAAGCCTTTTATTCAAGCTGCAACCCCTCACAGCAGACACACTTCATAACTTCTAGATCTGTGTTCACACAAAGATTGACAGAAAAACCCAGCCATGAAAGAAAACATAAAATTTTTTAATGTTTATTTTTCCATGAAAAAGCTTTACAAGGAGAAAGAGGCTGCACAGGAGAAAGCATACATTCTTTAATCACTGTTTATCTGTTGGTTTGATAGCCAAGGCTGACATTTCTTCTACAGTGTATTTATTTGTTCTCATAATATTACAGGACATTTACCCTTTATTTAAAAAGGATATCATCATCTATGAATATTGTTAAGAACAGTTAGGCAACATTGTCAGTGAAGAATTTACACGATCTAGATCAGCTTAGATGAATTGCTTCCATTTTAGTTCTTCTCATGTTTTGTAACAATAAATGTAAACCACATTTTTAAAATATTCAAATATATGAAAAGTTTTGCATCGAATGTAATGGAGAAACAAAGGTTTAGTATCTCAAAGAACAGACAAAATTTTCCAATTCCTACAAAGCAACACTGAAATTATCAAGGAAGAAAATAAAATTCCTGTCTTTCCCCTTAAACCACCTGGAGACATTTATTAAGGTGTTAAGTGCTTGAATGTGACTTCCCTCACTAGCATTATACTGCCGGGATTTTTAGATGTCCCAGCAGCACAACCTAAATGAAGTTACACATTTTCACAGTGACATAACCTGACCCTTCTTCACTGCCCCTACACACAACCCTCTGCTGTGTAAAGCATCTTTGCTGATCTGTAGAACAGATGAAACCTCCAAAACAAAGACCAAATCTCCATCCCTCAAATACCAAGAAGTGTCACCTTTGCCCCTTTATCAGTGCATGTTTTGCCTTCCATCTCACTCAAACCACGATTTCAGCAAGCTGTTTGAAGTCTCCCTGCCACGTTTGATCTGGAGTGTACAAAAGAGCTAACAATAATTTCAGGAGTAAGCTCACAAGATTGAGAAACTACCTCATTTTGAAGTATTTTGTAAGGAGTTTGACAAATAAGCACCTTAATTTCAAAGTAATTCAGTAACATGACAGAGAAGGAAAATTCTTCACAGTTTCAGAATTAGTAGAATTAAATCCCTCTGAAACTTGCAAACGATGAAGGTTAAATAGCTTATTTCAATCAGTACTCCAGTATTTCTGTAAAGAAACACTTTCAAGTATTGTTACAAAAGGCACTGATTTTTTCCTTCAGCCATCAAGATGTAATAAAAGCACAGAATTTCTGTCACATTGGGCCAAACTCCTGGCCCTAAAGGAATTTTCCACTAACCTTAGAGCACCTGGATTTCACTCAGTCACTATGTAACAACCACCTTCTTCTTCTTTATTGATTTTTTTACAAAATCACATAGATCCATCACAGGTTTTAATGATACAATGATTAATGGTACATTAACGGTAATGACAGAGAGGAGAACATTTTAGTTGTTCTAATTCTATTTTAAAAGTGAAATTGGAGACTTCTGAAGTTAAATATTCAGTAGATAAAACATTTAGCAATTTGTTTCTCCGCTTTACTATCAATTAATTTTTCAAATCTGGAAACCAGATTTGGAAATATGATTCAAGCAACTCTCAGGACAGATTCCTTGAACATATGGTTCAAAACCAGTATTTCAGATTAATCAAAAGCTTGGAAAATAGGCTCTATTTCTTTTTCCTTTTTTTAGATGGATGTAAAATCAAATTGGAAATTGCTGTTTTGCTTTCTATGAAGTCTGACAATGGCCAGATGGGTTGAATTTCTCAATCCTTAGTCAAAATGGGAAAGAATACAGTGGAATATCTCTCTTCTGAGGCATGTTGAGTACAGAGCATTAAGTTAAGGCAGATGTATGAACAGGTTTTCTTCAAACGGGATTTCTTTAGCTCAGAATTGTCAATGTTTCAAAGGAACTAGGCAAGACTTGAAAAATACTTGCAATTCTTTTGCTTAGCCCTAGAGCCTGCAATTGGACAGAATTCCCTGGTATGCTTGAAAGTAAAGGACCACCAAAGAGGTAAACTAAGCAATATTTAATTATAGCTACACAAACATTCCTCAACTCACACCCAAGCTTCCAGCTTCTCATCTGCAGCAGGAGTGCATTACCTGACAATAATTAAATAACCTGCAACAAGACAGCAAATTACTTAAGAGCTAAAATATTTAACCTATAGCAGCTAAAGTATTTAATCTCTAGCATCAAAGTTTCCTGAAACCAAGAGCCATCAGAATCCCTGCACAGGCTGCTCAAGTTTGATGGGATGCTCTGGGACAGCTACAAACAACTGCAGGACTTCAGTGGACAGGGCCAGAGGTAAAGGGAAAACTTCTGACAGCAGCTGCACCAGTGCAAAGCTTGATGAAGCTGACCTGAGGACATCTTCTTACTCTAATGCTGTCTAGAATCACTTGCTGTTTACATCCCCATCCCTGAAGCACGGGAGGGGCAAGGAGCTGGTGGAGGGAATCATTCCTACTTGGATCCCTCCATGGTAACATGACACAGGCTGCATTTCACTGTGGAAACTACAGGAGGAAAGGACAGACCCACAACCCTAACCAAAATCTCCCAAAATTGTGTGACAAAGAAACTAAGATAAACTTGGAAACTCAATCATAGGTGTGATGAGTCCTGAACAGGAATGAATCCTAATCCTAAATGAGAGTAGTGACTTTATAAGAGTACAAAAACTACAAAATATAGAACTTCTGCTTCTAATGGAAGACAGTAGTCAAATTTGGTTACATGAACATAATGGAATGTAAAATATTAGAATATTCTAGAATATCAGAATATTGTTTCTAAATTAATGATCTCTTGTTGAATGCAAGACAGATGTTGTGATTTAACTAAAAAATAACCAGGTCTCACATTTTCAAAAATTATCTCCAATTACTTGTCATCATTCCTATACTTTGTTTGCTTAGGACAGAGAAGCTCCTTTAATCCCTGACAAACCAACTTCAACAAAAATTGTAATGATAAATTCTGAATGCTAAATGTTTGCTAACCTAAATCAGTAATATTAATTGATTATGTGAGCAAGTGACCTGGCAGATTTCAGTGGAGAATTACTGGGGGTGACTGAAGAGTTGTGGTGCATGGAAAATTCTCCTTAGGTAGCACAACTGCAGCCTGGAGAACACAATGTGTCACAGTGAATCTCACATATTCTACAACAAAGAAAACTTAATTTTGAGTTCACACTTCTGTGAGAGTGTAGCCTCAAAGTGTCTTTGAGTCAATGGATACCAGTGATTTAAAAAAATTACAAATCTTAAGAATGTACATAAATCTCTGCTATTGTCTGCTAAACTAAAAGCATTTCAAACAAGATCTATCACTCATAACTCTACAAAGTCAAACATTTAAAGCTTCCATGTACATAGAAAACCTTGTTAGGAATAAAATTCAAGACAATTTGTGGTCAATAATGCCTCTAGCTTTGATAAAATAAATAGTCAATAACTAAAGGAACAGAAGGACATGGCCCTGCATTAGAAGGAAAGTCTCTTCATTTTCATCATCCCCTTCCTCTGAGCAAGAGGTAAACAATATACTTTTATGTTCTCTCAACAAAACAGTTTTACCCATGGTTTCAGCTACAATATTTTCCTACTGAAATAAAATCAGTGCATTAAGAACACATACAATATATTGGAAGCCATATGCACTTTTTCTGAGGATAAGCAGACAAGGCATTTACCTGATGCTATAAAACTACTTTCTCTTGCTTGGTACCACACTACCACAGCATTATACAAACATTGTAATGCTCTACAGGTGGAAGATATGAGACCCCAAACACAAACTGTGAAGAACTGCATCCAATAGAAAAGCTAAAAACGATGTAAGAATCTAACACAAAAAGAAATCAACTAAAAATATATGCATAAAATATGTGCCCATCAAGAGATTTACAGAGTCATCATCCCTACCCTTCCTTCAACAGAAGGGAGCAAACTACACAAAGATATTACTGAATTCAAACAACATGAAGGAGCTATTAAAACAAATTATCCTCCCTCTTCAAAATCACTTTATCTTTTTTCTATTCTAATAGAAAATATTATACTGCAATTGAGTAAAATTACTAAAAGCATCTCATGGAACTATTAATACATCCAATCAAAACCAAAAGCTGTCCCAGAGATGAAAACACTACAATTAAAAACTTAAAATGCCACAGAACTTGTTTCCATTATACAAATCAACCATGACCAATACTCTTTAGAGACTTGCTATGGTCTTTTAATGCTTTCTTAAGGTCTGCTGCAAAAATTGTTAAAGCCAGTAGAAAGTCATGTTTGGAAAAGACTTTGATTTACAAACTTTTACTGTGAGAAACAAATCTGGGAGTGCTGAGCCATTCCAATCTGCTTAGAATTTTTATATCAGGGAACATGAAAAAACTTAGTTCCCATACAAAGAGGTAGCATCAATATATATGATTCTTTTTTTACAGAATAGTAACATTTCCTATTTTTCTGCATCATATTTGGAAGATACTTTCTGGTACTTAAATTTCTTGTAGCTTGTACATGCTATTCAGTTTGCCTGTCTGGTGAAGTTTATGGCACTTGCTATTAACTGTAAGAGCAGCTTGTAAACCCTGGAGGAAGAAATGGAAACAGTATCCCTAAATATCATAAGCTGTAAAAAAATCTGTGTTTTTCTAATCATAGAACATTTGAATATCTGTACACTACAAATGAAACAGAAGCAGTGACTCTGGGAATGTGTATCCTTATCCCTTGGACAAACAAAACTTTATGTTAGACTGTAGGACTAAAGGCCAATCACAGTGAACACAGAGACTGAGCAAGGAGAGAACATTTAGATAGAAAATTAAAAATTATACACTACAGTTAAATGAAGTGAGGAATACAGTCTTTCCACACAGCAATACATTAATTGAAAGTGTCAGATTTTTGTGGGTTTTTTTTTTGTTTTTTTTTGTTTTTTTTTTTAAATATTGAAGTACAGGCAGAATTTCATCAAGTGATATAATTGAAATAGTACAACATAATGTCATTCTAGCTGAAAATTTGAGCTGGGGTTGTTCAGCCTGGAGAAGACTGGTGAGACCTTCTGGCACCTTCCAGTACCTGAAGGAGCTGCAAGAGCTGGACAGAGACTTTTGACAAGGGCATGTAGGGATAGGACCAGGGGCAATGGCTTCAAACTGAAAGAAGGCAGATTTATTATTTATTTTATTGGGAAGGAATTCTTTATTGTGAGAGTGGTCAGACACTGGCACAGGCTGCCCAGAGAAGCTGGGATGCCAGATCCCTGAAAGTGTTCACAATCAAGCTGGGTGCAGCTCTGAGGAACCTGCACAGTGGAAGGTGTCCCTGTCCATGGCAGGAGGCTGGAACAAGATGATCTCTCAGTCCCCTTCCCACCCAAACCATTCTATGATGGGACAAAATGAGAGACAAAAGATCCATCTGATGAATTACACGTTCAAGGTAACTGTGACAGTTTGGTTCATTATTCTCAACTTCTGAATCTAATGCTTGTTTTTTTCTAGAGAGCAGCAGAAAATCTGCAGGCTATCTAGAAGCTGATTGAAGGTTTCCTGGCTACTATCCAAAGGTAAACAGACAAACGAGGAATAGTGAAAGACTAAGTTTTACTAAAGTGTAAAAAATAATAAATGCCCAAATCACTTTCTTTATCTTCATCCTTCCAACAGCATTTGCTATCTGTGAACAAAGTATCAAAGTTTTTTCTCTCCAAATTGGCATGTGAGAATGGAGAGGCTTATCCAAAGGAGCTAAAACAGTGAATTAGGAAAGCTACTTAAAAACCAAACATAAGAATAATAACATTTCAGCCCTTGCTTTGCTGACAGGTGAGATAACAACCATTTCTGGTGCCACAAAGAACTCTCAGATAGACTGGCATTTCAATGGAAGGAAGAACCACACCACTCCTTTAAAACAAAAGCCTCTTGGGTTCATGACCAACATTTCAGTCAGCCTTTAAGTAAGAAAAAGCAACAACAACTGATAGTGGGGATTTACTGACAGGTGTCAGGAGTAATTGTTTTAGAAAAGACTATATTAAAAAAATCTTTCACTACTGCACTTTATAGTATGTGTGACAGTAGTATCTTTTAACTTAAAACAAAATCATCTTCTCAGAACTGATCATCATGACCAGAGCACAGGGCCTAACCCAATCACCACTTAAGCATGATGGAAACTCTTGCAGCTCAAGTAAATAAACCTGCACCACCACTATCACCCTGCCCCTTCTTATTATGGCAATTGAGGGAATTTTATTTGCAAAACATTTAACCACCAAGGGCAGAGTTTTGCAATAGAGTTTTAAAGCATCTTGCTCAAAGATTAGGTTACCAGTGTTCTAGCAAAATATCAGAGGCTCTAAACATGAATGTAAATAATCCATTATCAAGTATGCAATTCTGGTTCAGTGGCCACTATAACAAATCCAAGGACTAACAGTGACTTCAAAAGACTCTGAATCAGACTTCAAGAGTAATATTACGTATATGCAAAGTCTTCAGAACAGTCTTTGCAAAGAAATCATAAAAATGGGAGTGAATCACTCTCCTTGAAATGGATGACATTTAATTTTTGCAGTGTAGATATTCAACCATTATCTACCACTTTCTATAAAATGTAAATTGGTATGTATCAGAAAAGCTCCAGCATGGCTTTGTGGTGGTTATTTTATATACATATACACATTGCAGTGAGGCACATTCTTTGTTAAAAATCAATATGAAATTCTTCTGCAGGAGCTTGAACGCTTCCTTGCACAGAAAATTTCCCATGAACCTTTGTTCTTCACGTAAGGCGGTGATGTTGAGTTAAAGCAAAATGCTCAGTTTGCATAAAACAAGAGCTGCACCTAGTTTAAGGTGTATTTTCAAAATACACATGTCATAAGTGTCATCACAGAAGAATAAGCAAGATACTTTTTTATAGACTGGAGAAAGAACTTCCTTTTGACATCCTATTAAGATGCAATAAGGGCATAAAAGGAATTTTGAAGTGTTAGTCCAAAATGATCTACTCTATTTACAGTGCAAAGATCTTACAGTAACATCACAAAGTAACACCAGCTCTTTCAAATGGACTCTAAAAATTGTTGCTCACTTCTTAAGACTGGCAGACATCCAGTGTGTTCACAATTGGCAACAGAGTCTGCAGTATTACAAAGTTATTGCTGCTACTGTAATGTAAAGAAATGAGGTTGTGATGATAAATTTTCCTGTTAAGCTGTAGGAAAAACTACTTCATTTTACCAAGCAAATTATTTCTTAACTTTGTCATAAGCTCCAGGAAAAAACAGAGCCAAGTTATCTATTTGTACTTTCTCCCACAGAAATGCTGGATAGAAAATAAAGTGTGAAATCAGCTGGCTTTGTGTTAGTTGGTTACAAAGGTGTGCATCAGTTCCACTTGAGCTGAGCTGCTTTGGTCTGTGCCAGTGACCTGCAAGGGCTGGCTGAAGGAGACTCCTGCCATCATACAGGCACTGCTACCTTTGCTGCAGTAGTAGAGGCACGCTTTGATGGCCAGGGTGGCTTCAGCTGACACACAGCTCCCAGGCAACTGAAAGGGAATGACAGTTTGACAGGAAACATCCTTTATTTCTCCTGTCAGACACTGTCCTTGCAGCAACCAGGTGTTATCTGCAAAGGAAGAACAGATTTTATCATTAGGGTATTTAACACCATGTCTGAAAGCTACAGAAAACACTGATTCTACCTATAGGACAACAAGGACTTTCCACATACAACATTACAGGAAATTTCCTTCCTGATTATTCCAGTCATGAACAGAAAAGAAAAAAAAAAAAAAAAAAAAAAAAGGAAAAGTACATGACAAATGCTTTCCCAGTCATTTAAGGAGAGATCCACGGCTTTGCACCAGCACTATAGGTGTATAGGTGCTATATATACAGTGCATCTTACTTAAATGCAATGGAATTGCAGTTTCTCCTATACATTGTTTAAAGGATATTGAAATTTATTCTGATATGCACAAGCAACATTTCTTAAATTAATGGCTACCATACATTTGCATCAGAGATCTAATACACCAGGTAAGATATCTGCCATAAATGCATTACACTGTAAGTAAAATGATGGCATTTCCAAACAGCAGTGTTGGTCTTATAGCTGGGTTGGTGCAATTTAGCAATGCTCAGGCTGATTGTTAGAATGAAACTTCAGTTTCATTTTGTTTGAATATCTGAGTGTATGTGAACTAAAAACCACTGTACACTACATACACCTAACTCATTGCACTGAGCCATAAAATAAAATAATGCAGCATGTATTAATTCAAGCAAAAAGCAGTCTACCAGGTGTCTGGCTTTTTTCAGTCTTTGCACTCCAGCTGTTAAATGCATCAACTCTAAATATCAAGTACTGCATCACAAGGTCAAACAGAAACACAGGATGGGGAGGGACATCTTGATTCATCAAGACTGAGCTCCCCTGCACTGCAGGATGTGCTGATAGAACTCCCTTCCCATCCTAACCAGGGACTTTACCTTCTGCTGTGATAAACCAGGCACTGGGAGCTTCCTCGTTCAGTTTTGAATCCAGAGGAAGAGTCAACTTTAATAAAAACTGAATTGTCTGGCCAGGAGCTACAGTTAGTGAAGGAAGTTCAATATTTGGTGCAGATTTAGGCAGTCTTGGCAGGTTTGCTATTTTATCCTTTTGCACAGGCAGGTTATCCGGAACATCACATGCTTCTGGCTTCAGGATAGGCAACTATCAGTAGAAATCAAACAAAATATTTATTTTTATTTTTATTAGCACTGAAAACAAATGGGCTTTCATTATACAACCACAGTTTCAAAGTGACATCATATGGCTATTGGCCTAAAACTTTCAGTGTGAAACAATACTATGACAAAAGAGAAAACGGGAAGGAAAAAAATGTTTTCTTAAAATGAAAAAAACCTTGATTAATCCAAATAAAAGCAATATTTATTATTAAAGCCATAAAAACCATAACTACTTTATAGTATCCCTTAATTTAAATTTTTTACAGTTGGATTACATTTTTGCTTTAGATAAACTGCAAATGCATTTCCTTCTAATTAAACTGCATGCTTCAGTAGTAAAATCCAGGATTTCAACTAATGCATATTGCACAGTAAAACAGAGGAGAATTTCCCAGAAAAGCCAACATGTTACATGATATGAAAATTTGAACACACATTGGAGACTGTGTATTATTAAGTGCAAGAAACATATAAGAAGACATTAGGATCATTATGTCATAAATATATGTGTATATTCATTTCAAAAAATCATTAAGATACAGTGGCATTGTAAGGTGGACATGAGAACAGATTTTACAATCAAATAAAGCTGTGCTCAATTTTGACAGTGGTTTTGATCTGATAATTTGAAAACCCTATATATATCTTGCTTTAAGTCACTGACCTCCCAAAAGCATCTCTTACAGAGTAATTACATGTCTTGGTAATTGATTTCACGTCCTTTTTTCACAAAATGCTCATGAAATGCCCTTCATGCTGAAAACATGGGTGGTACATTTTAATGACTGATGTTTCTGTATTAACCTTTTCTAGAGGGTTGTCACTTTCTGTTTTCATGCAAAAGTTGTCTGTCTGAAGACTGAGGCTTTAAACAACTGTGCTAAAAGGCAATGCTCATTTCCCTGCTCATCACAAAACATCCTGTGGATACAGCTACTGTACCCAAAGTTAGCTATCTCATTTTTATCACACTTGCTGAAGTCTGAAATAGTAATTTAAAACACAAAACTCCACTATAAGCCTGTTTAATAAGCATTACTTGCCATGGAAAGAATTTTTGTTTCCAAATCCAGCACTTTAATCTGATGGTTATTTGTGTCTGCAACATACATGAGGCGGCCGTTTTCTTCAACACACAAACCTCCTGGTTCATTGAAAGCTGACTGGGTAAAGCTGGAACCAACAACATTGCCTGCTTCTCCTGTGCCTGCCAGGGTAGCACAGTTCTTCATCTTGGGATCCACAACCTTAATCTAAGATCAACAAAGACACAAAGAGCTTGTCTGAGAAAACCCAGCAGGATTTAGATGTTCTGTATTATCTCATGTCCCACATTTCCAGTAGCCAGCACTGCTTTTTGAGTACCTCAGCTAACAAGTGTCCATCCTAGATGCTGTGCTATCACTCTTTACCAAGTGATGTGTCCCATCTTTCCCTCTCCCCACTCCCTCATGGACTTCACTTCTTCCTTTGGTCTTCATTCAGGGTTCCCTTCCATGATTTTGAAGGTACCTAACCCTCAGCTATAAAAATATGCTGGATGACTTGTTTTTCTAATGTTTGCTGCTCGTTTCTAGAAACATCTGCAAAGCAGTGAGAGCATAACAATATTAGCAGGCTAACTTGTAGATTATTTTTCTTCCACAAATAGATGAGGTTTTTTTAAATAGCAAAAAATTTTATAATGTTTTATACAAGATGTGAAAAAACCCCACCATTTGCCTTAAAATTTCAATAAGCATTTAGTGTTATATACTCTTCAGATCAAACAGGTTACTTCTATTTTAATGCAGGTAGTCAGTGTACAGTTAAAAACCTCTAGACACAGATGCTTATACAACATCACACAAGAACAATCATGCAAAACAATGTCTCTTATCCCAGAGTTCCATGGAGGTAACCCACAATACTTCTCAAAACTTAGGTGGCTTTTTAAAGGGAAAAACAAGTCCTCTTGTCCTCCCAGTTATCAAACCTGCAGTATTCCTGAATAAGCCCTTCTAGCTCTTTTACTGTAGTTCAACATCTTTGGGAAGGCTCATAGAAAGTCTTTAGTCTGAACTGTAACTTGGCACTTTAAATTCACCTTCCCTAAGAGACCATCATATCAACACAGAAGAACGTGACAGCAAAACAATGGTAAAGAGAAGGACCCAGAAGAGGGAGGGAGGGAGGGAGGGAGGGAGGAAGGAAGGGAGGAAGGAAGGGAGGAAGGAAGGGAGGAAGGAAGGGAGGAAGGAAGGAAGGAAGGAAGAAGAACCCACAAAGAAACTCGTGTAATTAATTTCCTCAGCTCAACTGGACCAAGCAAAATTTGTCTATGCTACTAAAATAACTCTTTGTAGTAATAAAAATTTTAAGTTTGTATATAACAAGTTAGTACACACTTACCTTATGATTATAGGAATCTGCCACATAAAGCAGCTGTCTTTTCTTGTCCCATGTTACTCCCAAGGGATGCTGCAGCTTTGCATTTATGCCTGCTCCATCCACATCACCAAAAGCAAACAAATTCTGAAAAATTATTTTGTTTAATTAATAGATTTGATTATTCAATGTGGACATTAATTAAATGATTGTAATTAAATGGAAATTTAAAAAAAAATGAAGACAATTTCAAAACAAAGATACTGAAACCTGGAAGCGTGGGTGCTAACCACAGAAATGGAAACTCTCACACCTAAGTTATAAATATGAATCCAGCTGATTTAATGACCACACAATGCTGAATCAAATTGGCTATTTTAAGAATAAGTGAAGTAATTTCTTATCTAAGCAGCAACAGTCTGCACTACAACCTGAGCATACAACTGCCGCACATTTGCATTCCAAGCAGTGAAGTTAAGAAATTGATGGCCACGGAAACTGATTTACCCTCTCACCCCAAAAGTGGTTCCTCCAGGTCAGGCTTGAGGAATATTAGTAGGGCAGTGTGGGGAAGTTTGAGGTGATTACCAATGGGTCTCTCTCTCCTCCTACAAGGTGCTTCACCGCCCCGTCCTTGAGCGAGATGGTTCTCACGGTGCTGCTCTCGCTGTCGGCCACGAACAGGCAGCTCCAGGGCTCCTCTGGGGCCAGGGAGAGCCCCGAGGGCTGGGCAAACCCTGCCTTGTGTGGGTAAGCGTTGTTCCTGTTCTCCTCGTTCCCACTCCCAGCAAAGCGAAGGCAGACTCCTTTCTTTAAGTCACTAAAGGCAAAGAGCACCCAATTTCAATCACGAGTTGGAAACAGCTCCGACAAGATGCATAAACAGAAGCTACAGAACAGGCACTTGTGAGTTATAAAACCAACTGTAATGCAGCAGTGAGGAATTATTCAATGCCTTTGTGCTTTTTTATCACCTCAGCACATCATTCATTACTAGGTAACTCAGCAAATGCAAGGAAAAATAACATTCAATTATATGAATGCACCATACCAAGTCATAGCTGTATAGCTGAAGTAGCATCTTTCATTTCATCTAACAGATGTGGGAAAAGGAGGCAGACTTTTAAGCATATAACCCTTTAAACGAAATTATTTTCAGCTTAATTTGATTATCTCTCTCTTTGGGATTTGAAAGCTGTTTATCAAGACAAGCAGCAATTTCACATTTCTCTTAGTACAGTTGCTTACCTTCCCTTTGGTAGTTTTCCACCTTCCAACATCAGTGCCCATATCTGGTGAATGCCTGCCATTGCTATCCATAACACATCATCTTCCTGCGTCCCTGAAACTTTTAGAAAGGGACACAGAAATCCAGATTAAAAAAAACCCCACTTCAGAAATGTTACAACACAAAGAAATCATCAAACCAACCCCTCTGTCCCCCCCACCCCCTACTCATCTTCCCCATAGGGGAAAAAAATAAAACACAACCAAAAAAATAGGGCAAGAGAGAGATAGAGAGAATGTCTTTCATCTACAAAAACCTGCTATTTATTTTCTTTCCTTCTTGCCATTTTTCTTCTTTTCTTCTTGCTATTTTATTCCCAGGGGTTTAAAAATTGTGGTTTTAATATCCCTACCTGATAGAGGCAATGTTTCAAGTGAGATTTGCTCTTTGCAACATTCTACTGTTGTGTCTGTTTCACATGCTATTTTTGATTCATACCAGCCAAACAAGTACCTATCTTTGCTAAGACGGTTTTGTGGGATGCAATCTTAATTTTTTTTCTTTTTTTTTACTACACTAGTGACAAAATAAGGTACTCCAAAAAACTACAGGGAGTTGTTAACAAGTTTTGAAAGAAATAACCATGGCAATACCATTGTGCATAATACACAAAGGACATCATGTGTATAATGTATAATTATACACAAAGGACATCATGTTTTAAACTAAGGGTAACTGATGCTTGCCCTGGAGAGCATCAACTGCAGTTTATTCAAACAGTAAATCTGACCTGGGCATTTCCTAATTTCCCCCTGAAGTAACCATGCAATTTCCAAGTTGTTCTCCCTCAGCACATGTAAATGTGGCGTCACAAATGCAAGATGCAGATCTGTGGAACAGTGACCTTCTGGTCAAGAAGTGTTCAAGCATGTGTCAAGCATCTACTTTTTTCAACTTGAAGTATAAAACTACTATTCAGCATTCCAAATCTAGAAATAACTACACAACTCTTGCCCAGATAATACTTCACAAAGAAAATTATACAAGTGGAAATTGAAGAATACATTTGTACTCTATAGCTTTAAATGTAATCACAGTACAGCAGTAAAAAATGCATGAAGGCAGGTTGTGGAAGACAATGAAAAAACTCCCAACAACCCAAAAGCAAAAGAAATTTACTTATCTTAATCTTTCCTGAAAATCTTAAGGAACAGAAAGTTGACATTCAAAAACTGCATTAAAATGAGGACAGTACTGTCTTTTTAATGCTGTCCTATGTAATTATAGATAACATCAACACATTTTTCCTAAATAAATATAAAAGGTATTGGAATAACCATCAGCCACTCAACAGAAAAATATCTTCAAATTGCTTTGCATTCACATGAACTTGTAAAGCATTGTGCATCTCATAACTGCTCCTGAAAACAATCTCATGGATAATTACCACCCCTCCCCCCCAAACAAAATAGTTTGGAGTTTCAAAATAAAAGCAATGTTACGTGAAATGCCTGCAAGCATTTTAAATCTGACCAGTGAGTCCAAAAAATGAAATTACCACCATTCCCCCAACTGAGATCCTGCCATTCTTCTTCTAATTTGAAATCTTTTCTACACTAAAACCACAGGAGAGGAAAAATGGCATCCTTCTTTATCCAGAATTCATTTTCTTAAACTGTTAGCTCTCTTCAGAACACTACTGGTATGATTTTAACAGACTTTTTCTTCAGCATTTTCTGTTTCTTGGATAAATATACAAGTTCCCAATACTGTTATCAAAGTAACTCTGGTGACTCTTTTCTGCACCTCCCTGTGGCTCCATGTTTTAACATAAACTAGAGCTCCAAAAATGAAAGTCAAACTTGCAAAGTGTCTAAAATCTTTTTCTGGATCAAAAAAGAAATTGAGTTTCAAAACACACATTTTATAAATTACCAGAAACACTACCAAAGTTCCAACAATGCCAAAAACACTCCAGTATAAAAAATAAAAACAACACCTCCCTGTCCCAATCACTTTTTGATTAGAGCTTGTTTCTAAGAGATTTAAGTTGAGAAAATAGATTATGAAATCATTTCACTCCTTCCTATATAGTAACTGCTCAGCTTCAAGATTTTCTATTTCCATTATGCATATCTTGCACATTCAGATGTTACTATTCTAAGTACCACAGAATAAAAACTGTTAAAATCACTGGTCTATTCAGAAAGTGAGCTTTTTTATCTTGCTATGCTATGCAATTCATTCTGAGTTATCTCAGAAAGTTCTATTAATTATTTAATTTTCACTTTATCCACCAATTAAATGAAGGAGTAAGACTTGAACTGAGTACTGTTGAAAAATCTGTTCCATTCATCTATCCAGTTCTCTAATACCACAGACAGAAAACTCTACTGTGACAGCTAGATGTTGAAAAATTGAAAAGGCTTCTTACTCTAATTCTGCACCCAGCAAGATGTATGAAATATGAGAAAAAAGTATCAATATTAAATTAAAATTTTACTGGATATGTAAGATTGATAGAGAGAAGATCTCTTCTTCAACTAGAGAATAAGACAGTAAAAATAAGTAAGAGCTCCATACCTGTCATAAATTTTAACACAAATACTTTCTACTGAATGGCTGTTAGAACAAAGAGAATGGATGCAAGCATGGAAACAGCACAGGCTCTTTGTGAAATTGTGGAAAATATGTCAGAGTTTTAATAAAAAATTGTAATAAAAAACCCCAGAAAATTAAAACTAATGCTACACGGCCAAGGTATTTTATCACACAATAGGTCTCGCATGGTTTAATGCTTTATGTTCTGACACAAAAGGCAGAAAAACTTTTTCTTTCACAACAGAACAGTTTGAGGACATCACAGTTATCCTTGCACAGTTCTCACAGGAGAAGGGGGCCAGGGAGAGCCAGAATGCTACAATTATGGTAATGCCATCATTATAATAATTCCTTATCATCCATGAATGGAAAGTATTTATTTCTAAAGAATTTATTCTAAAACAACGTAAGAGAAAAAAGCAATTCTCTTACATTTATTCAATTAAGGACCACATTCCAACCCATCTTGAGCTGCTTTAAAAATGCAGAGTAGTTTCTCCTTATTAGGGTATGTACTCTCTTATCTGTGCTGTGCCTGTATCCAAGTGAGGTATGGCTTGCAAATGGGATATCCTTGTGTTATAAACATTCCCTAATAGCGAACTGCAGCTCTGAGGGCACAAACATTCCCCGTTGGATGATGCCTCAGTTACTGTACAATGCTGCAGCTCCTGCATCTGCCTCTGCTGCATCTGTGCGTTAAGAATTCACAGTCCTGTCTGTACACAGGCACATCTTCAAACAGTCAGAACACTGCTGACCATTACTGGTGAGTCAATCTCAATGCACAGAAATTGCTTTGTTTGGCACCAGACACAGCAGTATCTGTTTGAAGGGATTCCTTTCCCAGGACTACCCACACTTTCAGCCTCTCTATCTGGGACTGCATGGCTACTTCCAGTCTGGGAAATAAAAGCCTGGGAATCAAACTTACATTTTGTGGCTGGCACCACTGACATTTTTTAAATAGACCTAAGTCTGAAAATATTATTCCTGTCTACTAATTTTATCTTTGAAGAAATAAAAAGAACCAAGGAAGAAGTCTGTTGGTAAACTCATCCTCAGCAAATTCTCAAGGAGTAAATTCTCAAGGGGCTACACAACATACCCTGCAGTTCACAGATAGGCACGTGCACAGTGAATGCACATCTCACCTGCTCTTCACTCACTGGAAGTTCAGCAAATTAAATGCAAATGTGACAAAAGAACACAGAATCAGTGTTTGTCAGTGACACACAAACAGCAAAACTCCAAAGGAATGCTTTATCAGTGAAGCCTGGACTTTTACAAGTCCACATAACCCTTTTTGGATGACTAAAAATCAATTTGCTTCTTTTTTTTTGGCTACCTGGCACTCTTTCACATAGTGTTGCATCATGCAAATGGCACGACCCTTTATAAAACAAAATGCTTCTGGAATTTTCCTCCTTAGTTAACATACCTTCCCTCTCATTAAGGGAAATCCTTGGATTTAGATACCAAGGGGATTTCATACAGTGGAGATAATAGGGAGCTAAAAATTATGACTGTAATTAAGTACTTTTTTATTTCTTTCCCAAGTTTTCTAACTCAGGCCTTTTAACTGTAATGGCAGTAAATATTTCAAAAAATCCCAAGAAGAAGAGATAGGATTTGTAAATATGAAAGAACTAATTTAGATTATTTAGTGTTGGGATACATCATTGTAACTACAGAAGGAGCTAAGTCTGGTTACGTGTTTTACTCATTCCTAATTAAGCACAGCAAACACACACTTAAGGTACTTCAGCACCACAATCTCTCCCTCTACTCCCAACACCTGCATTCCATATTCAAAAGCACTTCCAGCCTCAAATGGTAACAGTAAAAAAATGTGTCTCCTTCTCCTTACCAGAAAACCCTCCCTAAGACTTACTAAAATGTGTATTTTCAGCAGTTCTGCATCTGAAATTAAGAACTGATATGCCAACTATTCTTTAGAAATACAACAAATCTGATTTGTAGTTTAAGCTTCTTTATTGTGAACATAGATTTAATTAATAGAACCAGACTGTAGACTGTGGAACAAAGAGAATGAGATCCATCACTCCATATACAAATATAATACTTTTTTTAGAGAAGGCAGTTTCAAGTCATGGACTTCAAAACAATTCTAAGTTTGACACCAGTTAGGATGGCAACTCTTCTAATACAACTGCTTCTTTTTTACAGCAGAAAGTAATCACTGTCATTATGCATTTTGTCAAGACACAGAGAAGTACAACTTGGAAAAGCAGCCTGTCAAACTAAATTGAGTAAGATTACTGTTGAATATTCAGTCACTACTCCCATTATATCCTTACATCAAGACTTCAGCCTTTGTATGTCACAGGCATGTTTATACCAAAATATTGACATAAGTACCTCATTTTTTAAATTGTTTAAATAACGAACATGTGAAATACTAATCAATTTTGTTACTATTACTATTCAGCAAGATCCTGCTTCACTGCAATTTTGCCCTGTAACTTCCTAATTTCTTATTTCTCTAAAGACTTTTT